AATTTGAATCCAAACACCGGCAGGAGATTTTAATTACAGAAGATACACAAAATGCGTTGGGAAGAATAACAGGGAACGCTAAAAGCGAAAACGAGTAAGTCCAGAGTGAATGAACTCGTCTTCGGGAGGGAAAAAGTAAAAAAAAGAAAAGAAAAAAAAGGAAAAAAAAAGACAGCTCCGTGCGAATGAAACGGAAAATCTTCATGCAAATTGCATGGAGGAGGAAAGAAGTTTCGCGAGACGTGGGGTGGATATGACGGTCGGCGCGTGTAGCACGCGCTAAAATCTCATTTGAGTGACGTACGAGCCACGATCGGTGTCTGACAATCTCCTCGAGCAAGTCACCCGGAAATCCGACTCTGCTGTGTTCCCCCTGTCCGACCTGATTTGCACAGGAAAAGTACACACCGGGAGAAAAGTACACCCTTTCACATCCCCCTCTCCACCCGGTCGAGCTCGCGCGACGTTCGCATATCCAAAATCCGCGAATGAAAGTTGAAAATGAGCCAACTGGGTCGCTTGATCTCTCGCTTCCAAGCGAAACACCGACGCGATCTTTTCTGACAAACTGTTCAACGACTCGTTCGATACGAAGTACTTCACCAAGTGGAACCATTTTGTTTTTTTTTTTTTTTTTTTTTCTTGTCGAAAGATTCCCCTGAATGAACCGAAGTGTAAATCAGCGAGAGATTAAAATGCAAAATGGCAGAAGAAAGTTATAGAAATCTCGAATAAAAGTTATTTTTCATCAAACATTCCGAGATAATCGGATTTCTATCGAGCGGTGAGAGGAAAGGAGGATCGACAACGGAGAATGAAATGCGTTATTAAATTGTTTAAACGTCAAAGTACAAGAACGAGAACGTTACGGACATCATGCAACTCGTGGGAAATCAATAACGAAATTTCGGCAGGAAGAATCGAATTTTTCGCTGGAGCATTATGCGCTCGTAACGTCGTAATGTATGCCCGGCTCGCGAATGAAATTTCAACGAGTTTTTGTTGTTTCGCCCCAGTTCGTTTTCTCCGTGAAACTCAATTCGCAATGCTCGTCACATTTCCCTCCTATTTTTTCCCCCCTTTCCTTTTTTTCTTTTCTCTCTCTTTTTTCTTTTTTTATTCATTATCGTTTCCCTTCTTTTTTAAGTTTCAACGGTTCCTCGTTTGTTTCGATAAATAACGGCGACGTTATACCTGGTGGTTCCTCGATGCACGAAGCCACAACTTTCTCGTTCGAGCGAAATTATATTTAAAACTCCCTTTTCGTTATTTACGCTTGTTTACCACTCATTAACAAACGTTCCTGCAATTACAAATTTTTTTCCAAGTTTTTAATCAAGGATACCAGCTCGCGTTTCCTCGTTCACAATCGCGCAGCGTAATCGCGGTTAAAATTACAATATTTGGCAAATACTGGTTACCGTAACCTAATTAATCTTCTGTTTTCACATTACATACGCTGTCGGAGAAACGCTAAATTTCATTGTGAACAATTTAGAAAACGAATTGAGATTATTTTTAAAAAGTTCGTGCAGCTAGTGAAGAAACGAACATGATATTTTTATAGTATTTTCGAAAAGTTTACGGAATTCGAGCGTCTCTGTGGACATTGCAACATTTTGTCTCGCGACTCGATCTAGCATAAATTTGAAGTGCGAAGTCCTCCCTTTGCAACAACATTCTAAAACACGATGTACCGATTTATTAAACATTTGATAAACCAGACTGGTGTTTCGCTAATTAACAATTACAAAAATCATATCGCCCGAGATCAAAGACGCGAATTTGAGAAAGAGAAGATGAAGTTTCACAGCCTCGCGATGCCTGACCGAATGCTGTGAATTTTTCGAGGCACGCTTTTGTATCCTCGAAACTCATTAAGTAACTCTCAGAGACGATGTAACCGGCTCGGTGAATCTATGGGATATTGCAGGATCTAAAGGATATTATGAATTGGATGAGTTCGGAAGTTCGCAGAGCTGCGGAACTTGGAGATGTCTTTACCTTTCGAGGGTTGGTCGGACATTTCTGCGATGCCAAGAGTTTAAAGGATTTCAAGGAACTCGAAGTTTTTTGAAAATCCGCGTCCCTGATATCTGAAAAAGGAGAAAAAGAAAAATTTGAAAGAATATATCGCGAACATTGCGCTGTATTGAAAAATTTAAGTGTCCTGAAAGTTGAAAAGAAGATTTCTGGAGGCTCTTTGAAAATCTTTGACATAATGTTTCTAAAATACTATTGCGATGTTTCGTACGTCCACGCAGATTTTACATACGTTCCTTAGATTTATTTGTGAAGAACCACTTCCATTATAGTTTTTAATCTTATAGAAAACTTTGTTCGACTTGCGAATTCTTATACATTCATCAAAGTTTCATACTTAACCTGTTGCGTTGGAATGACGTGCCACGCACGTCGAGAATTTTTTATTCCAAAATTGTAATATTTTCTCAGCTTTAAGTATATATTTAAGTAAAACAAAATAGGCTAAACAAATAATAAATTTATTACTTTTGAATAATTTTGATATCCGGTGATATCGTACCGACGAGTTCAAAAAGAAAGCGACGAATTGTTGTGGTACGGTTTGGTCACTCGTTATGGTCCGCAATCAGTTGCCAGTGCAAGTGGTTAATTTCTCCTTTTGCATTGAGCTTCTGTTGTTTGAAAAATTATTCTCAAGACATTTCGGAGATTCGCATGATCAAAATATTAGCTTTGAATATGCTTGATAAAAATTAATTTGAAACATTGACTTTGAATATGTTTCGTCACTTTGGTAAAAAGAAATTTTGATAAAATTTCAAACTCGATTTCCTCGAGAACGAAGCCTTGGATGGAAAATTTTATTCGACTATACTTTTTCACGAGGACTCATCCTCTGCTACTCCCCACGTGTCACAGAACACCCTGTACACTTTAATGCGATTTCCTATCCACTTTCTTTTCATCGTTTAATTCCGAAGTTTACCGAACAACCACGTTCGAATAAAATATCCCAGACTGAAAACTGCGTTCCGAAATTCATTCCATCTATTAATAATCGTCGTATGATATGCGGCAAGAGGTTACCACGGGACAAAACCCGGGCGGCAAACATTGACTTATCACTATATCGCTGTCTCATGGAGGATTCAGGCGCGAGTTATCGCGAGACACCGTTCCCAGGACGTCCATTTACAACTTCGAGCCGAGCAAAATGGAAGTGAACGACGTGGAAAATTTACATGCCGCTTTGTGCCACCCACTTGCCCAACTTACAGCGTGTACAAGCCTCGGCACACGTAAGCTTGTCAAGTATGGTGAGACGTACCTCTTTGACATAAAGGCGCCGGCTTCATAATTCACGGGAATCTTCCTTCGGGCTTTCGACTTAGCGATATAAAGGGAACGAGGTACGAGAAAGAGAAACGATGAGAAATGAAAAACGATGGCTGCGAGAGGACTTCGCTTTTCCTTCCTCCTCTTCCTCCATTCTCCCCCCCCTCTCTCTCTCTCTCCCTCCCTCACACACACACATACACACGTATACACGATGTGCGCGCCGGAAAATCCTTGTGAATTCTATTCAGAGTCTTCGTGGAACAAATCGAAGCGAACATTATTCATAATAGCTGGTTGAGCAAACGTGCCAAACGCGACGTTTATTATTCACGCGGCCGCATTCTCGGAGAAGCGACTCAGGTCGAAAGACGTTCGACGTTCCTCCGCTATTATCGACTGCCGAGAAACGCCAAAACTGACAATGGCAGATTTTTATATCTCTATGGGGAGAGAGAATGGATAGTCCTTTAGTGGCTTGAAGCTCCTACATTTCCAGGTACAGGATACACGTTGGTATTTTTTTTCTGTATTTTTACTCTGTTAGTTTGCTGTAGAAATCTCGAGAACGACTTTAGGTTTTTAACGAAGATGATGTTTTGATACTCTCGTAGAATGAGATTGATTTAGTTGCCTGTTGTCTGAGTTAAGGGTGTTTAATTAGCGAAAAAGAATTTTCAGAAATTATCGTTGCCTTCTTATTAACGATAATTAATTGATCGTATTATAAAATAATAAGTTATAAAATAACAAGTTACGAGTTACAGGTTCTTCGAAAACTTCTTCGAAACGAACTTCACCTTCGAAACTTCCAAAAAACGGTCACAGTAATAATACTAATGAATGAGAATTAATATAATAGTATTAACAAGTTACTAGTAAGATCCATAAATTTCTTCTTTATAACTTTATATTTTTTAGAGTGATCAAGTAACTCTGAGTGATTTCTCAAATCCTCCTACGCAACTTTGTCTATTTTCTCATCAAGCCTGTTACATACAACAATTTATTAATACCAATCAGTTCTAACTTGCACATCTTCACTAATGATATAAAAGAATTCCTAGAAAGTTAAACTAACAAGTTCCAAGTTGACACAATGATATTACAAGTTACGAGTTACAGATCTACGAATCATTTTCTTGTATAACTTTGCAACTTTGTAACATTATGCTAAATAAAATAATCAAGTAACTTGTCATTTCTACCCATCCACGCAACTTTCTTTATTCGTTGATGACATTGACTCGGTATAAGGGGGACCTCGAAGAAGCAGTTTCCTCCTAGAAACGCGAGAACATGTACGTGTAGCTCCGAGCGACACACGGTTGGGTTTCGTTGAAACTACAGGGAGCATCCGTTCGAAAGGTATCCGATGGAAGATAGAAGATACATCCGCGAGCTTTACGACATTTCTGATAGCAGCCGCTGTGATTTACAGCCGGTCTCCGCGGAACGACGTGTTTCCCCGCAAAGAAATGACGCGAATCCCTTTCTACCACCTAACCTAACCTACCCACGGCTTACGAATTACTGCCTGCCTGCTGGGGCCAAGATGGCCACCGCGTAAAAGCAGATTCTATTTTCGTTTCTTGCCCTCCCATTTTTTCGTTCCTTTATTTCTCTTTCTTTCGCTTCACTTTTTTTCTTGTTTTTTTTCTTCTTCGTTTTTCTTGCAGGTACGTCGAGCCGAAAAGGTACTCATCTAATGGCAGAGACATGACGGTCGTTCTCAGACGAGGCGCCAACAGCCCGGCCGACGAGGAATACATGGACGTCTCTTATTACTTCCACGATGGTAAGCCGACTATCTTTCACATCTTTTCGAACGACGCGAGCATATAAAAAGAGCTGGGAAGGATCGTTATATCGCTGTTTTCAATGGGATCTCGTCGGTTTTCGAATCCTAATGGGCAACAGGTTTACGTTCGACACTTGGAACTGTGACATACGTAAATGGTACACACGAAGGAGTAAATCTTCCTTTCTTTCATTTTTCTTCGTTCGGCTCTCTCGATGGAAATTGAACGACAGCCGCGATACGCGACCTTCACGAACGTTGTACATCGATATTTGTGTACACTCGTATTTTTAATACAGATACCGACGAAAAAAACAACGTGAACAGAAAAATGTGTCTCTTGCGATTCAAATGTCGTCAAATTTATTTATACTTTTGATATTTTCATATGTTTTTCGTGCTCGCAAATGCAGAAAAATCCTTGTCTGAACAAATGCATCGAAGTGTGAAGGAAATCCGTGGTTGAACATTTGTTTTGCGTTCGTAGATTAACGATTTCGGCAGCGGAGGTTAAATTAAAGATCGCGTAATGAATCGATGAGGAGCAACGTGAGATATTTACTCTGGCTAACGAACCAGTTACCCTTTTTCTCTTTCGCTCGACAAATTCGCACGCGTCGTCATCAGCGCTCATTGTTCAATTAAACGGATGAAAGCGGCGACTGATCGCAGCGCGATTCATATGTTAATACGAGATCGCGAGTCACACTCGAGCCAAGAACGGCCATTTTCATCCAATTTAACTTTTTCCTCCGTCGGCGCGCGGCTCGATTGTAACGAAAGAATGGCATTGATCCGCCATTAAAATTTCAACGTGGCCCCGGTCCCTCGTCAACTCATCCCTCTCGCCATAAAATAGCACGCAGTTAATTAAAAGAAAATCGATGGGAAATTTTTTTAATTAACACCACCGGGCCGTGAATTTTGCGAATTTTCGCGAAATTTCGACACCATCTCGCAACGAAGTGGGCCCCACGATCGATTTCACGAAACGGAAGAACGAATGGTCACCACGCGCACGATACATCAATTATTTCGGCTTCGATTCTTCGACCGAGAGCTTTGGCCCTCGGTTGCTAATTACCAACCGACTAATTACCGCCGCTGCGAGCCGACATATCGGACCGCCCGAATCCTTAATCGGATGAATATAGATGCGTTCATGCACACGGTAATCCGGTTGGCACGTGGCCATGAACGCGGAACTATCCATAAGGTGCATTTACGGTCAGTGTAGTTGGCGCTGCAACTTGCGTGAAACGCGAGAAAACAACAATTCTGGGGAAAGAGCTTGTTAATCACTCGTGAACTTATGAATCTGACCTAGGACTGGGCTGAATTGGCTGTGAAATACTCTGGACGTTTTGGATATAAACAAGAAAATTATTCGATACCTGGGTATCTCGCGAGATATCCAGGAAACGCGTAAAATACTCGAGGCTATTGTTATCACTCTAATTGTCTACTAATATTCTATCTAATATTTCCACTGTAATTATTATTACTCGGATGCAATTTATGTATCGATGTAATTTATGTTTCAGCGATAAATGACAAAACCACCAAATTTTTAATTATTTTAAATTAGATAAATTTTTTTCAACTAAATTGTAATTGTCCTTTGTAATCTTTGTCTTTGTACTAAAATAATAAGTAATAAGTAATAAATAATAACTAAAGTAATAAGTCTACCAAGTATTTCAGCAGTAGTTGTTTTAAAAATTTGATGTCTTTAGTTTTGTACAAAAGTACTAATTGTACTTTCTAGTAATAACTATTTTAAATCAAATGTTTCTATCTTTGTACAAAAATACTAATAACTTTACATTCCCCAGTAGTAGACTCGTTTGAACTCGCTTTGAACTAACAACTTTTCCAGTTGTGGAAAATATTCTTTCAGAGCTGATGGATGTTGCGCGCGACACATAAATATGTTTTAGCGAGTCTTGCCACAATCTTGGATATTTTCTTGGCTCTCTCCGCCATTCCAGCGGACATAAATTTGTTTTATTGTTTGTCACGAAAACATAAATTACTCGAAACATTGGATAAAATGACATCGAGTATTTGAATCGGATTAATATGTTACTCTAGTCTCAATTATCTCATAAAAGTATTAACTCAAATTTACACGAAAGTTGTTTGGTAAATTGAGAGGTGCGATAATGTTTACAATACATAAATATGCAAAGTGGAATATTTGTTATAATATAACGGATCTTTCTAACTTCTATTTCTTCAACTGTGTTTATAAAAATCCACAGTCTCCTTTAGTTAACGAGATCTTTCAATTTCATGATTAGTTTGAATTTTTAGAAAAGTTGAATTAATTGAATTTTTGGGGAAAACGAAAATTACTTGAATCCACGAGCTCGTTTATGGAATTAAAATGAAATATAGTACAGTACAAATTAACGAAGTGAAAATTGAATTTAAATTACGTAACTCCTAAGTATTGTACGAGGGTTATAAAAGATTAAATAACCGAATATCAAGTTTTTCTTCCTGATATTAAATCTTATTAACCTGTCTCCTTTCTGATATTAAACGTTACCGCTTTCATCATCGAGTTATCCCTAAAAGATAAAATCATCGCGTAATCCATCTAGATAAACCTTTATACTCGGATCAATAAGAAAAAAGAAAAAAAAAAAAGAAAACCTGAATGTAATAAGCTTTCATTTGGGTTCAATTAATCTTCCTTCCGCGATCTAAATCTTTCACATTCTAGAATGCAAGTCACCAACCTTTGTGATCTTCAACATTATCATCACCAATTTAGTCGCGAAGTTTATTCTCCAGCTTTTTTATTTTTAAATGGGACCTTTTTATAGTCTGCCATCCAGTAGAACAGTTATATTACCCAGTTGTGGCGAAAGGAGACCGAACTATCGGTCCAATTAAATTGCTATGAATTTCCTACTGGTTTTGATTGTCGTCCTTCGTGAAGTTTCCTTTTCCTGGTTCTCTCGAAAAATTCTCTTTCACACTGGTCAAGCGATGGAAGAATCTAAAAATGAGAATGCTTTACTGTTTGATAATTGATTAGGAGGGAATTATCAATAAATATTAGAGGCAATAAGTAATTTCATTTCTTCATACAAGATTTTATTTTATTTAAGAGTTAATACAGTTTCAATCTATTAATATTATTAATATTTAACTAGATTATAACTATTATTTAGAATGTAGATCGTGTTATAATAAGTTAAATTATTATCACTAGATTGCAATGTTTATTAATTTTGAAAAAAAAACGACATTACTTATAAGTACCCCTAATATTTGAAAGACTGTGAAAATGTATTTAGAAAAAATAATACATAAAAAATATATTTAGTGTATATCTAGAAAAATATTCTGCTCTGCTCCACAAAAGCCAGACGTCGTCAATTTTTAGTCTAAAAAAAAAAAAAAGAAAGGAAGAAACCAGATTGAACCTACGTCCAATTAAAAATAATAGACGACAAACTATGACAAAGATATTTGTAATTTCCGTGGTTGATGACTCCACGTAGCATCTTCTTCGACTGAGATGGAGGGGCGGAAGACGTTCAATGTCATATCACGTCTTTATCATGTAGCAAAGATAAGAGCCTTTGACATAATACCGCTACCTTAGTGCCTTTGTCATGTATGCTGCCTTAGCAACAAAACCTTGGATCAAAGTATACGCCGAGCAAGTAAATTCTCCTTGCTCTAAATATCGTCGGGAAGATAATGAAACGCCGTTCCTTTCAAATCCTTCGAGACGAAAGAAAATTTCATCTGAATTCTGACAATCTTTCCGAGAAAGGAAGTGACAGAATAAATACGATAAACTGGATCGTGATGAATCGCGAAAATAATGACGCGTGCTCGAAATTTTTCGACGAAATTAACCGAAAAAAAAAAAAAAAAAAAAAAAACAAAAAAAAAAAAAAAAACGAAAGAAAAGAAAAAAAAACGCGCGCACAAAGGAAGACACGTTCATTACACGGTAACGCCAGCTTTATTCGACTTTATGAGGTATTCATCAAACGGAAATCGATAATCCAGCCTGGATTTATCGCGTGTCACTCACGGTGGAGCGCAATCATCCGAAAAATCAATCTTACGCCGACGCAGACGCATAATGATAAACGATGGAAACCATCGGGCCTTCCCATGAATATTTGATAAAACCTGCATCTTGCATCCCCGTACGGGAACAGGATTAATCGTGCTGAACCTCCGGTTACCAGATTTCAGAAGTATACGAAAGATGCAATTTATGCGAATCGACTTTTCATCATTTTCCCTTCGTTTTTACTTAGCCACCTTTCTTACCCTAATTTCGTAATTTAACAATTAATAATAATTTAAGGAGACCATATTGATTGTAATTGATGACGATGGAAAATTGTCAATTGATAATTTGAATTGACATCGTAAAAAATTATTATTATAACGATCCACTTGGTCTCATTTTAAAGCATGATGTTTTTAATTTGACAATGGTGAGTTCGTTTTTTTTCTTTTTTTTGAAGATGATTCTGCTTTATGTGACGAGCGGAAAAAAGAGGATTCTGTTTCTTTAAAAATTGTCAAAATTTAAACGTGCGTGACATGAAATAATTTTTTACTATCATCATCATTTTGAAGATTGAAGTTTTCTCTTTACAATAATTCATTCCAAACTTGTGCGATTTTTTTCATTATTTTATTTGTTGAATATTAGAAAAATTCTAATGTTTAAAATTCAATAAAGTGGTGAAAGAAAAGACTCGTACAGCGAGTTTTAAACTGCAGAGAGAAAATTTTAAAACCATGTTTTCTGATCTAATAAAAAAAAAAAAGAGAGAAAATAGTTTTTAATGAGTTTTTACATGTGTCTGAATTTTTAAAATTTCCACGAAAAGAGTGTCCTCATTTTTTGCAGCTACACAATATAAAATCATCTCTTTTTCATGAAGTTGTATCAGTTTGAAATTATCAACAATTTTTCACTTGTCATTGGTACAATTATGCTCTTTACT